GTGATACATAAATAAATTATGATCCAACATTCTAAAAAGTGTGGTGAGTGGATCATGCCAATAAGAAGAAGATGAGTAGCACGAGAAAAACAAACCCAATATAGAGATTTTGTAAACATGGAATGCATTATGAAATTTGTACAATGGCAGATCTGGGAGCTGAAAGACTAGATGATGGAAGCTCTCAAAGAAGTGGTGTTGTGGGGAAGGGATCAGCACCCTCAAGAAGAAGAATCGGTGCCCAATAGTCGGAGGGCAGTCCAGAGCCCATAAAGAATTGGAGATTCACAATATCATGATAATGTCATGATGGTATCATTGGACATGCAACATTTCTGGTGAACTAATGCACCTTGCCACTCATAGGGCGTATTCTCTTAGCAGATTTTGAAACAGAGCCCCCACAAAGATTTAAAATTCCATCACTGGAATCCGCAGACTGATTCGACAGACCACATCTAAACAACACAAACACATTGAAAGGTTGTCTGTTCTTCATCACATTGAGGGAATCAACACTCATGTGGTTTAACTCGGTTAATTATATATGCAGAGAAAAATTAAAAATATGACTCAACAAACTATATATGCAATTCTATGTTCAAATCACACTCGGGAAACTAAATGAATTCATGCAAATTGATAGTTGCTGGACACTCCAGGAGCTTGGGTTTGAGTGGCAAAACTAATAATGGTGTAAGACGCCGGATCGATAAGAACCCTAAAAAACGACATCGACTGTACAATATTTGATTGACAAAACACATAAAAAATTGTCCTACACCGCTCATACATCATACGAAAACATATCTCCAAACTTAAGTTAGATCAAATTTTGATGGTGGTTCCTTGTCCAGTAGCGATAAGATCTGCATTGGGTACTGAGCAAATCACTCTTGAAGCTAGTTTTGATGGTTATCCTTACAAAAGTAGCAACAAAATTCACTTAATATGCCTAACACAAGGGTAGTTTATCTAAAACAACAATCTGACCAAGCAACCGTGACTCGACAAGTATAAGACGTGAGTCAGGCAATAACACTCTTAAATAACCAACAACGACATAAGATGTTCGATTGATAAACTTATTCAAAATGATCGACAATGACACAAGACATCAAATCATCATTTAATACAAAAAATGACCATCAAAACTTAAGTAGCATAAACGAATGTCTCTAAACTAGAACATATCAAGCTTTGGAGATGGTTCCTTACTCATTAGCAACAAGATCTATGGTGAGTAGCATGTAAATAATCCCAGTAGCAAGCCTCACTAGTTATCCCTATGAAGGAAGATACATGACTGCTTAATAAGCCCATTGAAAGGTGTGGTTCATTTGAGGCGATGATCCAATCGATAAAATGAGTCAAAGGAGGTGTAAGACTTGAGCTAAGAGATAAACACATCAAAGATGACTAGAGGCCTATTCTAAAAAAAAAAAAAACTAATCAATTGATCGACACATGCATTCATCACAAACAATCATTGCAAAACAAAGAGAAAACTTGGTGAGGAAAGGAAATTGTGAGACCAAGGTACAAGCCGACTGATAAAACTTATATTTCATTTCAATGGTGAACACAACAACAAAATCACCTCGACCAGGAAACATTAAATCATTTATTTCTTACTACTAATAATAAAAAAAATAATTGTTTATTCTTGCTTAACTTAAATGTACCTAAAAAATTTCCCAAATTAGCAAGATTTATTGTGATCGAAGATGATAATATTGAATGGATAGTTTTAAACATTTTTGTAGTAAAACTCCTATATAATAAATGAGCTCAGAAATATCCCTTACATTTTCTTAGAAAGATGTGCTCCATCTAGAATTATCCATTTTAACATTAAAAGTCTTAGAATACATGTATCAGAAAAAAATATATTCAGCTTTAGTTGAAATCACCTATAGAATATTAGGACCTCGAAGCTAAAAATAAGTCAAACGAAATGATAATGCCACCACAAAATATGAAAAAAACAAGGGGGCAATCAGCAGTGTAATCAAATTTGTGTATTATAAGTAGCATTGTAGTGTTAGGAGCACTAAAAACTAAGAGCACTAAAAACTATCTTATTGCAGGTTTTAAGATGTATGATCAGATAATTGATTGTCCCTTTTGATTTGTAGGATTTCATCATAGCTAAAAAAAAAGGTTGAAATAAGATTAGCAATGCCACTTATTGACCATAAACATCTAGGCATCAAAATTTATAACAAAATAAAAGAGTATAACAACCCACAACCCTAATGTTAAATTAAATGTATATCCAACCAAAACAAAACAAGATCAAATACAATACCCATCCATAACAAAAAAAAAAAAAAAGATCAGATGTAATATCTAAAGAGCATAAGATAAAACACTATTGAAGTAATTAAAAACTATTAAGCAGTGAAAATAAACTCTTAACACATGAAATATTTGTAGAAAATAAATACTGCTAATTATAGTAAAAAGATTCCCCTTAAATTTTGATTATTACATGTTTTAATGACAAATTAAAATTTATGTTTAAGGATTTCCAAATAAGAGAACATTTTAAAAATCTCTACAATTTCTTTCTAACCACAAATAGTGAGATGTGAGGTGTACATATATTAAGAAGACTTTATTGATTGTATTGCATCTAACAGTATCACCATAATTCAAAAATTGAGTTAAACTACATCTCATGTGAAAGAAACTCCATATGGGAAATGATGAGAGTGCGCTTTATTTTGAATTCAACAAAAAACACATTTGGGTTCAACTATAAGGCTTCTATAGAGGAGAGCATCTTTAGTTTCAAGGCCCCCAATAAGAAAACTTTTATAAAAACCACAACCTAATTAAGAGAATAACCTTTGATCTAGAGGTGTTTGCTCCAATCCACTATGGGTTTTCTCCATGAAGAAAGAAGATTGTGTTTTTCTTGAGAGTTTTTAAAATAACCACAAACAGTTCAAAGTAGTGTCCACAAAAGAGGTATTAAGAATAAGTTGTGAGCAATTAGCTAAGATGCTAGCGATGTGTAAGTAACAATTACAAGAGAATATCATGTATACATTTTGGCATCAATTAAAAAATTGAACAAGGCACTAGCAACCGCCGTGGCATTTCAAAATCTATTCCTATTAGAATGTTAGAGCCCATTTGGTGTCCAAACACACAAGTCTCTGCTAGCTAATAATATCATCCTTAATCTTTCTGGATTGTTTTGTGTTTAATATTTTCAATTGTCTTTCTATCTAAGTCGGGATGTACAGTATTCCATAAGTCTTTTCAAATCCAATTGCTAAAAATTAGGGAGAGCAACATGTTGGTTTCATCGCCAATTTAAGTTGAGTAGTTGTTCTTGCAAAGCCTATCCTTTTGTGAACTAAATCATATAAGGCTCAACTCGGTGGAGTCTTTTTCTTTTTTTTTTTGCCAAGCCTCTATTCTCTTTAAAATCCATACCCGAAACAGGTTCCATAATTCATTATTTTAAGGTGTTGTATTTGTCCTCCATCTCCTCGCCATCCTCCTCTTTGTCTTCAACATCATCAAGTAAATTAACATATTGGACAATGTGAAAAACAAAACAAAGTAAAGAAGGATGATGGACTGGTGAATTTAGTTTGTTGAAGTAAATTAAAATTTTGAGTGTTATATATACTATTTAAGAAAATTTGAGTGATATATATGTAAATCCCCCAATTTTATTTTATTTTATTTGTCTTATTAAATTCATTTTCTCTGAATGCATAAACATGGGGTCATTTTAGTTTTAGAGTTTATAGAAATGTCAAATTAATTCTCAGTCTTTTAAAATTGGGGCTAAAATAGTCTTTCACGAACTATTAGGGCTCCAATTAATGAGATGCGGACCAATTTAACACTTCTATAAACCTTGACTAAAATGACTCTATTTAAATAGTCAAGGGACTATTTTGGCACTTTGCAGTTTTCAATTATAAGTATATTGAAATCAATTTTTGGATAGCTCAAAAAATAAATTTCTAAAATTTTTTAATTCTAGTTTAAGTAATTTTTTAATCATAAAATTACAAAATTTATATTTTATGTATTGCTTTTGCATTTCATATTTATTATAATAGCACCTAAATTCACTTAAAAGTGCAAGCAACAATTCAATCACTAAAGCAAATTTCTAAAATTTTAAATTCTAGTTTAAGTAAATTTTTAATCAAAAAATTGCAAAATTTATATTTTATATATTGCTTTTGCATGTCATATTTATTATAATAGCATCTAAGTCTCACTTAAAAGTGCAAGCAACAATTCAATCACTAAATTAATAGATAAAGAGAAGGAATAAATATTATCAATTCATCTAGACAATAATATTTTACTTATAATATAATAATATTAATTCAAATATTAATATTCTTTAAATAATGTTTTAGTCAATATAAACTGAATAAATTAAACTTATCATAACGTTTAAATTTAAGATTTGCCCACACAATAGCAATGCCTTACCAAAGCATAGTGGAAATAGTAAATGGGGGGCAATTACATACAAAACATCCCAAACTTGCTATTTACAAATCAACCACTCTTTCATCTCATATTTTTTGATCTTTATAATGACACATATAAATACATTAATTCGGTAGTCTAAAATAATCACCTGGACAATTAATTTGTAAATATCAATATTTCAGATGGCGTGTATGTAATTCTCCCTAGTAAATATTGTAATTTTAGGAAAAGTTTTTCTTTTGAGAAAAACTAAACCCAAACAATATGATGTGTGATTAGAATCCACAACTTCAACTTTGTGGTTGGAAATAAGTAATTATTCATTATATCGTGAGGAAATATTTTTTCAAGACGTCGTATTTTTGGACGACCAACTACTGGCAGTCACGTCATCATACATATTATGGCGGGCGACTTGTAGACTTGTGATGGTTAGCCGTCCGGACATGATATATATATTTTTTTTCTTGTATCACATATAAGAGCACAATTTTAAAAATAAAGCCGTCCTATAAACGGCAAACCTCGCCATTGATTCTTTGAAAAATACCTATCGCCGCCTCTCCATTTCTTAATTTTCTTCTCTCTCCATGTTTGAATGCTGATTTTTCTTCTTTCGATCGTCTTCCTCGTCCAATTCCAGTTAAGATTTTACCAACCTAAAAATCTCTTACAGACTGTTCAATCCCAGAGAAGCGAATCGATTTGAGCCAAATCGAAGATGGGGAAAGGATTGCTTGATCTAGAGAAGCAATTCTCCTTCTACGGTGCGTATCACAGCAACCCGGTGAACGTTCTCCTCCACATCATATTCGTTTGGCCCATCTTTTTCACCTCCCTCATCCTATTCTATTTCACCCCTCCTCTTTTTCATCTGCCGGTCTTCGGTGGCCTCGACCTCAACTTCGCCTTCATCTCCGTTGTCTTCTATTCCCTCTTCTACGTCGCACTCGACAAGAAGGCCGGATCGCTCGCCGCTCTCCTTTGCTTCCTCTGCTGGTTCGGAAGCCAAGCCCTCGCTGCTGCTCTCAGCTTCTCTCTCGCCTGGAAGGTTGAATCCCTCTGCTTCTCTTTTTTGGTTTTGTTTGCTTCTTTGAAATTGGATTTTCTTATCTTTGTTTTTTGGTAATTCGTACAATTTGTTGGTTTCTTTTCTTCAATTATTAGGTCGATGATATTCTAATAGTTATGCAAATTTGATGTGATTTGGGCAGTTTGAATAACAATTAGGATTTTATGAATCTGATCATAAGAAATCACGTGGTTTTTGGTTTTTGTAAATTTCTGAATCATTAAATCCTGAAAATTGTTTGGTTTTTAGCCTGAATTTCTTCAAATCCCGCTGTCGGCATGTCTTGCTGAATTCAGGATTTAGAGCTGGGCGTTTAAAACCTTGTTTTTGAACAACTTCCGATTCAATTACTAGAAAATTAAACAAACTCATGTTTTAATCCAGAAAAATGTTATTATAAAAATATTTATTTCATAAAGTATGGAATCGGTTAATCTTTATAGTTTATGGCTTAATTTTTATTCTTTAATCCCTCAAACTCTAGGTTTGACTAAATCATGAAGAGAGAGCCAGAGATTAGGGCAACTAAATATTATTAACCCTAATTAGTTTAATTAATTGTTAATTAGCCTGAGTTATTATTAAAGTTGTGATGTGAAATTATTATTATTATTATTATTATTATTATTTTGGCGCACATGTATACATGCATCATACATGCATGCATATAATATACACATACATAAATGTATATGTATATGCATGTATGAAGGGAAGAATTTTTTTTTTTTTAAAAGGGGGATAAATTAATAATTTTAAAAATATGCTCACTTTTTTTATTTGGGCTTTAGAATTTTAAATTTTTTTTTATTATTATTTAAATATAAAAAAATTATACATATATGCTGACAAAAAAATTATAAAAAATGAGCATTACTTGTAAGTTTTTTATTCCAATTTTTATATGTTGAATCCTATTATATAATCATTTAATATTCAATACTATTAAACATGTTCTTTTCAATATGTACAATTCAATATTTTTAAACCCAATATACTTAGGGTGTATGAATATTTTTTATATGCATATGTTGCATATATATTTATTTATAATAATAATTAATAAATATAAATGTAAATTAAAATTTTAATTTATAATTTGAAGCATTAATTAAGGGTGATTTTAGAAGAAAATAGTGTTCAAAATGATTTAAGAGAGCAAATA